GGGTGGATCACTTGAGGTTAGGAGTTCAAGACCAGCCTGGCCAATATGGTGAAACTCTGTCTCTACTAAAAATACAAAAATTAGCCAGGGATGGTGGCTATAGGTACACGCCACATATAGTCCCAGCTACTCGGGAGGTTGAGGCAGGAGAATCACTTGACCTAGGAAGCAGAGGTTGCAGTGAACTGAGATCATGCCACTGCACTCCAGCCTGGGCATCACAGTGAGACTCCATCTCGGGGGAAAAAAAAAAAAAAGGTTTTGGAGATCTGTTACACAACAATGGGAATATACTTAACACTACTGAACTGTACACTTTAAAGTGATTCGAATGGTAAAAATAAAAGATAGGAGGGAGACAGTCAGGAGTAAGTAGTCTGGGGAGAGGACCTAGATGTGACCAGGAATGGGGGCTCAGATTGGATTCCACCTTCGTCTATAAGGTTTCATTTTTTTTTTTTTTTTGATTAGAAAAAGGCAGCAGTAAACATGACGAAATCCAAATATCTGCCAATTTCAAGAAATGGGAACACGCGTTGCTTCTTCTAATGTAAGGTCTTCAAAAAGAAAAGAATTACAGGCCAGTGTATGGATTGAGTCCTGGGCTCCATGGGCTGGGGGCCGCTGAGCATGTCTCATGATGGGACGCCTGGCTGGGCCTGATAGGGTGACCGCATGGCTTCCGGGCCTGGGCACCTGCAGGGGATGTCAGGAGCCCCGAAGAAGCAAGGCCACGCGTGCCCCCAGCCCACCTGTGTGCTGGGAAGTCAGGCCGCTGGCGAAACGGGATGCAAACCCAGTCCTGAGACTGCAGACCAAAGCCTCCATATTCAGTAGCTGAGGCAGGTGGGCTTTGTGCCCAGAGAGCAGGTAGCCCTCCCGCAACCCTGGGGGCTTGTTGAGCTCTGGATACTGGGCCAGCCAAGTGGACGGCACAGAGGAAGGGAAGGAACAGCACCAGGCAGAAGAGAGCCGCAGGCAGGGGTGCCCAATCCACCCAGACCCGGCCAGCCGAGGGCAGAGCCCATAACACTGTCTCTGCAGCCCCCGGAGGAGGCACAGAACGCTCCACGTGGGACCCCGTTGCTGCTCTGCCCCCGCCCGTGACTCGAAGACCCCCTCTAGGCCCTTACAGCCAGTGTCCAGCTGCTGATGGTAAAATGTGGACCGGGAAGGGCAAGGAGGGGCATCTGCTGGCGATGAAGGG